AAAAAAAACCCCCCCCCCCCCCCAAACCCCCCCCCCCCCCCCCGGGCGCCCCCCCCCCCCCCCCGTCTCATTGGACGTGACTGGGCAGGGGTGGGGGCTGCTTTGGAGGAATGGGGTGGTAACTTTTCTTTAGTCATGTGATTGCCAGGCAGTGCAGAGCCCTCTGCCTCTCCCCTTTCGCTTTCTACTGGCTGCTTGCCTGCATTGTCCGGAGGGCAGGATGGGTGGGCTGAAATGTGTATCCGGTGAGGGGTGAGACGCGGGGGAAGGAGGACGGGGAAGGAGGACGTGGGGAGGGGGTGGAAGGGGACTGAGAGACAGACTGGGGAGGATAAATGGAGCAGAAGAGGCTCCAATTGGTTAGAACCACAGAATCCCAGAGCTAGAAGGCTACCTTGAGGTCATCCAGCCCAGCCCCTCCTCAGGGCGAAGTTGAGAACAAAAGTGTGTTTTTTTTCACCCAGAGCTCCTCGGGCCTCCAGCTGAAATCTTCATGTCTGCGAGACTGGACAGCCACTTGTCTGAAATGGTCTCTAGGGTTTCCTGCCCGAGCAGGGGGTTGAACTGGATGACCTCTAAGGTCCCTTTCCAAGTTTCTATGATTTGGTAAGGATCTCCTGCTTGAGCAAAGGATAGAAGGTCTTCCTTCCTTCCTTCCTTCCTTCCTTCCTTCCTTCCTTCCTTCCTTCCTTCCTTCCTTCCTTCCTTCCTTCCTTCCCAAAATGAATCCGAAAGAGCTAGAAAGGATGATTGGAAGCATGTGCGTTGTTTCTTCAGGTTGCTCGGTCGAGCCAGGAGCACGACGAAGGCTCCGTCAGACTCCTCCCGACTCCGGTGCATCGCTGGGAGGGTGGGAGAAGTGAGGGCAGGATTGAGGGGGGGGGGGAATCTGTCCTTCCCTTCCTACCCAGGAGTTCATCGGGTCGACCTGGAGGTTTTGAGGGGAGGGGGCTTTGAGGGGCGGGAGTGCCGCTTCCAGGCCCCTTCACTTTTGCCTCCACCGTTAGGGCATCCTCTCCACCCTCCTGTCGCAGGATGGACAGCAGTGGTGTCTGGAGCTTTGAGGTTGGGGCATCAGGCATTGGGTGGGTGGGTTGTTCTTGTGGGAGGAAGCCCCCTTGGAGAGAGAAGAGGGGAGAGATCTCAGCTCTGGGTCACCAAGAGATGCTTTTCAAAAAAAGTTTGGGGTTAGTGTTCGAGCCCCGTCATTTATTTATTTATTATTTATTTATTTATTTATTAATTAAATTTATAGGCCGCCCAATCCCGCAGGACTTAGCAATAACAGAAACAATATTTACAGGTGAAACTCGAGAAATTAGAATATCGTGCAAAAGTTCATTTATTTCATTAATGCAACTTAAAAGGTGAAACTAATATATGAGATAAGACTCGTTACATGCAAAGCAAGATAGTTCAAGCCGTGATTTGTCATCATTGTGATGATTATGGCTTACAGCTCATAAAAAATCCACCATCTCAGAAAATTAGAATATTACATGCAATCAATAAAACAATAAAAGAAGGATTGTACATAGAACAATATCGGACCTCTGAAAAGTATAAGCATGCATATGTACTCAGTACTTGGTTTGGGCCCCTTTTGCAGCAATTCCTGCCTCAATGCGGCGTGGCATGGAAGCTTTCAGCCTGTGGCACTGCGGAGGTGTTATGGAAGACCAGATGCTTCAATAGCGGCCTTCATCTCTTCTGCATTGTTCGGTCTCATGTCTCTCATCTTTCTCTTGGCAATGCCCCGTAGATTCTCTCTGGGGTTCGGGTCAGGCGAGTTTGCTGGCCAATCAAGCACAGTAATCCCACGGGCATTGAACCAGGTTTTGGTGCTTTTGGCAAAAGTTGCTCTCATCAGAAAAGAGGACTTTGGACCACTGAGCAACAGGACTTTGGACCGAGGGAGACAGATCTATTTACCAGTTGATGTGATCACCTCCCCCTCCTGCTCCCCTTCCTCTTCCTCCTCATTCCTTCTCCACTCCTCCTTCTCCCTCCTCCCGCTCTTCCCCTTCCTCCCCCTTAGAAAGTTATTCTCCTGCTTCCCTCCCCTCTTCTCCCCCTCTGGCTCCCCTTCCCCCTTCTCTTCCAATTCCCCCTCCTCCCTCTTCCTCCTCCTCTCCCTCCTTCCTCTCCCTCTTCATCTCCTCCTCCCCTCCTCCCTGTCCCGCTTCCCTCCCCCTCTGGTTCCCCTTCCTCCTTCTCTTCCAATTCCCCCTCCTTCCTCTTCCTCCTCCTCTTCCCCTAACTCCTCCCTCCTTTCTCTCCCTCTTCCTCTCCTCCTCTCCTCCCCCTTCCACCCCCCTCTCTTCCATCTCTCCCTCCCCTTCTGCTCCTCACCCTGTTCCTCCCCCTCCCCCTCTTTCCTCCCTTGGCTCCTGCCCTGCACCCACCGATCCCAATTAAGCAAACCCCTGGACGATATTATTTTATTCCAATTTCTTCAGAAAGGGTCTGATAAAAATGGGGTACTCTCTTCACAGAGGGAACCCCAAACATCAACTTGCATTCTCTTATATAATTAACACATCAAAGGAAAATTCAAAAGAAAAGTCGAGAGATTCTGTACGAGAAACACATCCTCCCCTTTGCACAGGAAATCAATTACACAAAGTGAAACATGTTACATAGAATACCATACAGGTCGTCCTTGACTTACAACCACAATTGAGCCCCAGATTTATGTTGCTGAGTGAGACATTTCTTAGGTGAGTTTGAGGCCCCCTTTTACAACATTTCTCCTCACCATTGTTCATTAAATCCCCGCGGTCATTCAATTCCCCCCCCCCCGTTGTTAAGCGAATACGGCTTCCTTGGTCACAAATAAGGATTGCGTACACACACACCACAGGCCACTGCTACCGTCCACGGTCAAGCATCCGAATGCCAATCAGGATAACATGGGGAATGCTGCAAAGGTCATAAGTGTGAGAAATGGTCATAAGTCACATTTTCCCCATGCTGTGGTAAGTTTGAGCAGTCGCTAAATGAACTGTCGTAAGTTGAGGACTACTTGTAACAAGGGCTGCTTTCTTGAGGGGGGGGTATTCAGACAATTGAGCTAGCCCCAGATATTTAAGGTATGGAAACAGTGGGGCCGACTCAGCTTTCCGTCCTTCTGAGGTTGGTAAAATGAGGACCCGGATTGTTGGGGGCAGGAGGCTGACTCGGTAAACCTCTTAGAGAGGAATGTAAAAGCAATCTGAAGCAGTATATAAATGCAATTGCTATCGCTGTAGATACACCGAGAACAACCCAAGCAGGGCAGATAAAGATTGATAATATTGAGAATGGGATAAGATTGAAAGGAACTCGAGCAATAAAGACATAAATTAAGCTCCTCTCCTCTTTTCGGGAATTGAATTTAGTAACATGTACAATGGGCCAAAACAAAACTTTGTATTGATTAGTTAGAGAGACTTCTGACTCATGTATGAGGTCATCTATGCTGCGATTGGTTGCCACAAATATAAAGGGGGTGTTTCCCTTTTTTCCCACCTTTTTCTTCCCTTGTCTTCTACATGCCGTTTTATTTTACCTCAGGGTGTGCCCGGGTGCCTGACTTAACTTGCATTGTTTCTCTCTGGAGGATGACAAAGATCTCCATGAATTAGACAAGAAGTCTTTAAAATGTTACAAGTTAGTTAGTGTCTCCGATGTCTTCTAGAGAGCTGCTGCACAACTCCGTGACATTTTGTCTTGTCTTAGTAACTTCTCCTATCTCATATCCACCACATACCTTATTCTGTCTTATGCTCCCATATCAATATCTTCTCTTTTCATCTTACCCTATCTCAGGCGTCCACAACCTGTGGCCTTCGGCCCAATACTGGTCCGTGGCCTAATCATCACCAGGCTGCATTAGTGGCCAGCTGCTGCATGCACCTCCCCATGCATACACAGCCCCACTCACACGAGCCTCATTGCGGGAGCTTGAGGCCCCATTCGTACTAGCCTCATCCCAGGTGCCTGTGGCCCAAGTCGTGCGAGCCTCCCCACAGGCACCCACAACCCCAATTTGCGTGAGCCTCGTCCCGGGCATCTTGGCCCCACTCGCACGAGTCTCCAGGTGGCCGTGGCCCCAGTTGTGCGAGCCTCATCAAGTGAGATTGTGGCCCCACGTGTGTGAGCTTCATCATGAGCACCCACAGCCCCACTCACGCAAGCCTCATGCACTTGCCCTTCCCCACAAATTCACCCCCTCTTTCCCCCCTCCTGCTGCTCTGGGCTGCCATCTCAGAAAGGTTGGGCACCCCCGCCCTATTTCATATTCACTCCATATCTTATGTAATCATCGTAACCTACCGCATATCAGGGGTGGGTTTCTCGCCCCGTTCCAACCGGATCGGTTGGAACGAGGCCGGCGGCGTCCTCACGCACGCACGCGGCGCACGCATGCGTATTA